GTCACTAGGAGAAATAGAAATAACAAAGGGAGCACAATCCCACCAAGCTGTTAATTCTGATCAGACTAAGCCATAACACTACAATACATTAGGCATCCAAGAATTGCAGTAAACTCTTACCTAATCACTAAAGCAAATCAAAATCAAGACAGAGCCAAGAACTACAACATGTGTTCCCACCTCAGTTATAAATTCCTAATCATTCTAAAAGAAACAGAAGAGAGGAGGGCTGTCTACAAAGGTACTGTTGAAGGCAAAATTTACTTGTCTAAAGAAAATCTGTAGACACTGTGAAACCTCAGCCATTATGCAAAACCAAGCATTCTAACATTTACCTTCAAAATTAATTACTAAGTGACTTTACTTCTTTCATTCCAATTACATTTGAAACACTTAACTAAATGTTACATGTAAGACACATAAACTACAGGAATAGTCCCACACCTCAAGGTCCTGTGAGAAGATGATCAAACCAATTATAACACAGGCATACCTTGAGAATATTGCAGGTTTAGTTCCAAACCACAATAAAGCAAATCAAATGAATTTTTTTGTTCCTAGTGCATATATACTGTTTATACTATACTGTAGTCTATTAAATGTGCAAAAGCATAATGTCTAAAAACAATGTGCAGGAAAGCAATATGGAGGTTCCCCAAAAAACTAAAAACAGAAATACATTTGACCTGGGAAATCCACTCCTAGGAATTCACCCAAAAAACGTACTTTCTCAGATTCAAAAACACATATGCACCGCTATGTTTCTTGCAGCATTATTTACAATAGCCAAAATATGGAAGCAACATTAAGTGTCCATCAGTAGATGAATGGATAAAGAAGATGTGGTACATATACACAATGGAGTATGATTCAGCCATGAAAGGAAAAGAAATCCTCCTGTTCCAACAGCGTGGATGGATTGAGAGAATGTTATGCTCAGTGAAATATGCCAGGCAGAAAGACAAGTACCAAATGATTTCCCTCATTTGCGGAGTATAACAATGAAGCAAAACTGAAGGAACAAAACAGCAACAGACTCATGGACCCCAAGAAGCGACTAGTAGTTACCAAAGCATAGGGGTGGGGGAGGGCGGGTGGGGAGGGAGGGAGAAGGGGATTCAGGGGTATTATGATTGGCACACATGGTATGGGAGGGATCATGGGGAAGACAGTGTAGCACAGAGAAGGCAAATAGGGACTCTGTGACATCTTACTATATATACTGTTGGGCAGTGACTGCAGGATATATGGGGGACATGATAACATGGGTGACTGTAGTAATCACATTGCTTTTTCATGTGAAACCTTCATAAGAGTGTATATCAATAATACCTTAAAAAAAGGCCTTTCATTAGTTCCTATTCTAGATATTTCTATAGCAATTGACAGTTCAGAGCATTTCTAAAAATATTCACTTCCCTTGATTTCTGTAATATATTGTGTAATGCTGGTTTCTCCTTATATTTTATTAACTATTTCATCCCTATCTCCTTCACTGACTCCCCTTATTCTGTTAGACTTTATTTAAAAAAAAACACACAATGTGTATACACCTTTATTATAAAATACTTTATTGCTAAAAAAGAATGCCAACTCTCTGAGCTTTCAGCTGATGAAATCACTGATCACAACAAATATGATGACAATGAACAAGTTCGAAATATTGCAAGAATTACCAAAATGTGACACAAAGTGAGCAAATGGTGTTGGAAAAATGGTGGCAACAGTCTTGCTCAATGGTGCGACAAACCTTCAATTTGTAAAACTGAACAAAAAAAACACAGTATCTACAAAGCACAATAAAATGAGGTCTGCCTGTGCGCCATTAAGTTGGTCACATAATACAGAGCCTTGCTGGTGTAAAGATGGACAGTTCCACCGATTCCCCACTTAAAGGAAGTTCTAGTTGCCCTAGCACTCAGCTTCTTCACAGTTTATCTCATCTGCAGCTCTACTACTCAAGGACACGTGCCCTCCTGTGGAAGATTGGACTTCATACAACAGAGCAGGGATGTAACAGCCTGGCCCTTTGGGCCCACTGTAGGTCAACACTGATAACCTTTCCAGTACTTCCCTAAAGTTGGTCCAAGTTCTGTTGGGTTTCCCCAGCTCTTCTTCTGCCCAGTTCTGTTTCCAACCTCACCCTACAGGTGTTGAAATCTTATAAATAACCTGCCTTCCAAACTGTCTCATATCTGCTTTCAGAGAACAGCAATATAGGTCCAACTCAGGAATCTGAGCTTAAAATTAAGTGGGATAGAGGTAAACAAAAGATCTTAAAACAGCAAAAAGACTATAGAAGATGTTTCTGAGTAGGGCTGTCTGGGGCAGCCAAACTTAGGACTAGAAGACCTTCCAACCCCGTCTCTAATTTTCTTCTACTTCTTTGCCCTCCATAAATAGACTCAACACATAATATTGTACACTCAAACTCACATCTGTCATTTTCAGGCAGAGTACCAGTAGCTGAACCCTGGTGTAAAAAAGAACAGTAATTACCCACCTTGCATGAGTGCATCAAGAATGTAAAAACTGACATAAAATCTCACTAAAAATAATGCCTGTGAGATACCAGATGATGACAGAAACATTGTTTGGAAAGTGTTGCAGTAAGAAGCCACATACTTGTTGCTGCCGCTGTGGCTCAAAGGCCTATCACCTTCACAAGTCGATTTGTAGCATATGTGGCTGCCCTGACAAGCAGAAGAGAAAGTATAACTGAAGCACCAAGACAAAAAGATGAAATATCATAGGAACCAGCAGAATGAGACACATAAAAACTGTGTACCACAGATCTGGACATAGATTCCATGACAGAATAACACCTACACCCAAGAGGGCAGCTGTGGCAGCATTCAGTTCATCTTAAGGATTTCAATGACTAGTCCCACAGTACCTGTTGTGGTTTTAAAATACAATAATGCCTAGTACATTATAAATGCTTGAATAGTTGCTTTGGAGAATTGACCATACACACACGACTGAACTGAAAGAATGTCTAGCACTTTTCACTCAACAGTGTTACGACCAATCTATGTTGTTCCACACAATAGTCCCACTGCTTCCCAGTATACCTTGCTGAGGGAGAGTTGGGTTGTTTCTAGCTTGGGGCTATTGTGATATGCTCTCTGATGAACATATATGTGGATTTCTGCATAGTATACGAGTTGAAGTGGAACTGTAGGTGGTATGTTCAGTAAATCAAAGAGGAGCTCCTAAGATGTATCATTTTTCTTGATTTATTATGGTCCATAACAAGTATATATTCATTTTACAAACATTCATCTACATACTTCTGACTTGTGTACTGTTCTGAATATACATTTTAGTTCAATAAAAATTAAAAAAAGAAAGTGCACAGCAGGTGCTTAACTAACAGCTGCCTGAAATTGTTAAGTCACATTCTGACCAATACAGCTTTCAGAATTTATACTGAGGAATTAATCCAAATAAAGGAAAAAAGGGGGAAGTCTTCACTGGCAAGGCTGTATTGAATTTGGTTCTTAAAAGATAAGAATTCCAGGAATAGCATTTAGAACTGGACTTAAAGGGTCCTGAACCTCATGCTGAGGAAACCAGATTTGTTCTGGTGTTAAGACGACCACTGAACGTATTAGAACAATTCATCAAAGCAGCATCAAATGCAATAAACCCTGTAAAGACACATACCTGCAGAGAAACAGTAGTAGGTGAAAAGAAAAAAACCAAATAGAGAGCAGATAATTCTATGAATTAAGCTTTTCCATTAGAAAGTAGAACAAAAGAGTTGCCCAAACTTGCATTTCTAGGAATCTATCCTACAAATATACTCATACATACATGCAAATAGCAGCACTGTCAATAGCAAGACAGAAACAAAAAAACTCATACAGTCTAAATGTCCATCAATAGTAAATTATGATACATTTATACAAGCTTGTCATGTATGGATAAAGAATAATTTCCAATGAGACTTGTAAACTTAAAAAAAAGTCAACATGCAAAATAGTATAATCATATGCCACCATATAGAAGGGATGGGAGATTCTTTCCTATTTCTATATGCTAAAAGCAAAAGACATTTAATAGAAGTGTTAAGATGAGGAAAAACTGGAACCCATATATACTGCTCATGTAAATGAAAAGTAATGCAGTGCTTTACAAAAGTCTCACAGTTACTCAGAAAATCAGAGTTACCATATAACCCAGTAATACCATTCTTCAGTATATACCAAAAATGGAAAACAACGTTCGCCCAAAAATTTATGAACATATGTTGATAGCTGCACTATTCATAATAGCCAAAAAATGTTAACAGACATAAATATCCAACTGAGGAATAAATAAAATGTGGAATATCCATATAAAAGGCTATTATTAATTATTACGAGGAACATCCTTAATACTACTAATTATGAAAATGAAGTACCGATACATGCACCAACGCAGAAGAACCCTGAAAACATCGTGTTAAGTAAAAAGTCAGACACAAAAGGCCACACATGACATGATTCCACTTATATGAAATGTCCGAAAAAGCAAATCCAAAAAGCAGAATGTAGATTAGTGGTTGCCAAGGGCTGCAGGGAGGTAGAAATGGGCAGCAACTGCTAATGGATTCAGTGTTTCTTTTTGGGGTGATAAAAACATTCTGGAGTTAGACGGTGACATTTTAATTTAGTGAATCTATCAGGAACTACCAAATTTTGTATTTTGAAAGGCTGAGTTTTACAGTTTGTATAGTATATCTCAATTTTAAAATGTGGATTTAAAAATTGGGACTAAACCAGATCAGATATTTCATAATTTTTATAGGAAAAAAAAAATCCATGAATCCAAAACAAAAAAATCGGGATAACAGTTCTTTTAAATGTCAGGCTGAAGAGAAATCACTCTAAATAGGGGAGCAAGGGGCAAAGTTAAGATACTTTTCAAGCAACATACCCACATAAGTTTTGAACTTTCTTTCCACTGCATACTTACTTCTTTAATGGTACTTGTTTTCTGGCTAGTTTACTTACATGCTGTATTTCCTGCTGGCTGGCTCGGTAGTTTTTCTTGGTTAAATTGTCCACCAGGTAGCTGATTTGAGACAAGGCCAGCGAGAGCGAGTCAAGATTCATTGCTGGTTGGGGCGGAAGCAGGCGGCCGAGCCCGGCGCAAAATCACCATTATTCCCCTTTAGTCACCTCAGAGGCAGGTTAATGCTTTCTTTGTAATTGGCCTATATCTAGTATCTGTATAGTATCTTCAGTTCTTCTTTACCAGGGACCTTACTGTGTTCTGAAACATGGCACCTGTTTAAAAATGAGAAATTTTTTGATTAGTTCATTTTTTATCAGGGACAGAAGGGTTAAAGGACCTTCATCTTTCCAGCTTAGTGCCTGAAACACCAAGGGACTAACTAAATTTTTTTAAGATGTCTCAACCACTATTGATAAAAGATGCCAATTTTTTAAATTAAGTAGGGCCAGTATGAACAGAAAATATCACCCCACCCAAAAAAGTTGTACTTACCAAGACAGCCTATAATATTTGAGATTTCTATTTTGTTGATTTCAAAATAATTTGTAGCATACCCTTTAGAAGCAACAGGAAAAAGTGTATGACTAAAATTAGAGTTTGTGGAAAGACTCACCTGACGTTATCAGTCCTTCTTCCCACACTAACTACAACCTATTTACAAGATCCCATTTATTCACTTTATTCCTATGTACTGCTTCAGAATTACTTTGGTATTAAGTATTAAAGTTGTACCTTATTTAGGATGTATGTTTCAGGTATCTGAATGGCTAACTTAAAGGCAACTAAGGGCTTCAGAACCCAAATTCCTTATTGTAATGTTAAAACTTTTCACTAGAATTTAGAAAGGGAAGTCAAGGTAGTAATACAGCTAAAATGACAGGATGCTATCACTTTATTTCCAACCACCAAGTGAGTCAGAGGAACTATTCTGTATTACCAGCACCCACCCTCCAAAAAAAAAACAAACACGTTTTTTTTCCTTAAGAATTCACTAAGTGGTGCCTGTGTGACCCTTCTTCAATACCTAGTGCAACCGCAGAACCAAGCAGAAAACAGGGCCATCACTTTACTTAATGGGCAACCTTAACCCTATTTCAGAAGTAACAATGTTTTACCTCCCAACATTACAACATTCCAATTTCAATTTTCATCAGAGAAAATAATTTTTGCCTATTATGCAAGGAAACATGCAATGTGAGGAATTATCAACCTACAGAATCTGGGCAGATCTCACCTTTGAATGAAGTTTTATTCAACCAAGTGATTAAAACCCAAGATGGGAAAGGATTCATGAAACTGGTTTGGAACATCAACACTTAAATACAGATCAAACTCAGAAAGTAACACTGGGTTTGATGAGCTGTCCTGGAACTCTGTATTCCATGTCAGGAACTTTTCTTGTTCTTCTTCAGATACAAGGACTTTGGAATTCAGATGCTTTTTGAATATGGGTGTTTAAAAGGTCACCCAAAGAGTAGTAAGAGCAAATAAATTTGTAGCACACTGGGAAAAAAAAAAGAATTCACCAAGTATTGCTGCTGAAACACAACAATCTGAATACAAAGAGCTGAGCTTATCCATAGCTTCAAGTTCTGAAATCTCATAATTTCATCACAATCAGAACTTACCATATAAGGTAGGAGAAATTCACAAAGATTAAAGCCCCTTTGTAAAGACACTTAAAACTATCTTTAATAACAGTTTCTCAGCAATGTGGAAAAACTACATTGTTTTGTTTATACAAAGCATAGCTTCTACCTATGCTATACCTCCACATGCTTGTTAAAAAAAACTAACGGAAGCTTGGGAATGTGCCACAATAGTTTTTGTTCGTTCTACAATAAAACATATCAGAAGTTAAAGATAAATTATGCTTTTGTCAATCCATTATAAGTAACTAAACTGGCCTGCTATAAATTCTCAAAGCACACTGTTTCCTTCATGCTATGCTGATAGCATGTTTTGTTTCAGAATAGAAGAAATCTAAATCTGAGGCCACACCATAAGGAACATACAGGCAAAGAGAAGACTTAACAGGCTCTTAACAACAGTATAACGGCATAACTTTTTCTGAAATTCAAATAAAAAGTGTTAATTGAACTACCCTTGAACCTATAATTCCGCTATTAAGACTGAATCCCTCCAGATATATTGCCTCAAGAACTCGAAACACATTTTCATTGAAATATTGTTTTATCATAGCAAAAAGACAAATAGTAAAATATAACTTAAAAAATATTATGACATATCAAAAAAGGCAAGTGTTACAAGAACAAAGTAAAAATGTCCAAGAAAGATGCTCATTAAGATGGGAAAAATTTCTCTTCGTTAAATAACTTAATAATGAATATTCAGAAATATGTGGCATTCCTATACACTAACAATGAACTAGCAGAGAGAAAAATCAGGAAAACAATTCAATTCACAGTTGCATCAAAAAGAATAAAATACCTAGGAATAAATCTAGCAAAGAAAGTGAAAGACCTATACTCTGAAAACTATAAGACATGCATGAGAGAAATTAAAGAAGATACCAATACATGGAAACACATCCCATGCTCATGGACAGGAAGAATCAACATTGTCAAAATGGCCATCGGCCTAAAGCAATCTACAGATTCAATGCAATTCCTATCAAAATACTAATAGTATTCCTCAATGAACTAGAGAAAATCATTCTAAAATTCATATGGAACCACAAAAGACCCCGAACAGCCAAAGCAATCATGAGAAGGAAGAATAAAACTGGGGGATTATGCTTCCCAACTTCAAGCTGTACTACAAACCACAGTAAACAAGACAATCTGGTACTGGCACAACACCAGACCTATAGACAAACAGAACAGACTAAAGAGCCCTGATATAAACCTAACCATATATAGCCAATTAATATATGATAAAGGAGCCATGAACATACAATGGGGAAATGACAGTCTTTTCAACAGCTGGTGTTGGCAAAACTGGACAGCTACATGCAAGAGAATGAAACTGCATTATTGTTTAACCACACACAGAAAAGTAAACTCAAAATGAATCAAAGACCTGAATGTAAGTCATGAAACCATAAAACTTTTAGAAGACAACATAGGCAAAAATCTCCTGAACATAAGCATGAGCAACTTCCTGACCTGAACGCATCTCCTCGAGCAAGGGAAAAAAAGCAAAAATGAACTCATGGGACCACACCAAACTAAAAAAGTTTCTGTACGGCAAAGGACACCATCAACAGAACAAAAAGGCATCCTACAGTATGGGAAAATATATTTGTAAATGACATATCCAACAGGGGTTAACATCCAAAATATATAAAGAACTTACATGCCTCAACACCCAAAAAGCTAATAACCCGATTAACAAATGGGCAGAGGATATGAAGAGACAGTTCTCCAAAGAAGAAATTCAGATGTCCAACAGACACATGAAAAGATGCTCCACATCACTAATCATCAGGGAAATACAAATTAAAACCACAATGAGATATTACATCACACCAGTAAGGATGTCAGCATCAAAAAAAATAAGAACAAATGTTGGCAAGGACACAGAAAAAGGGGAACCCTCCTACACTGCTGGTGGGAATGTAAGCTAGTTCAAACATTGTGGAAAGCAATATGGAGGGTTTCTCATAAAACTAAAAATAGAAATACCATTTAACCTGGGAATCCCACTCCTTGGAATTTACCCAAAGAACATGATTTCTCAGATTCAAAAAGACATACGCACCCCTATGTTTATTGCAGCACTTTTTACAATAGCCAAGATATGGAAGCAGCCATAGTGTCCATCAGTAGATGAATGGATAAAGAAAAGGTGGTACATATTCACAATGGAATACTATTCAGCCATAAGAAACAAACAAATCCTACCATTTGCAACAACCTGGATGGAGCTGGAGGATAATATGCTCAGTGAAATAAGCCAGGTGGAGAAAGACAAGTGCCAAATGATTTCCCTCATTTGTGTAGTATAACAAGGAAGCAAAATTAAAGGAACAAAAATAGCAGCCAGCTCAGAGACTCCAAGAAGGAACTACTAGTTACCAAAGGGGAGGGTTGTGGGGAGGCAGGTGGGGAGGGAGGGAGAAGGGGATGGAGGAGTATTATGTTTAGTACATATGGTGTGGGGGGATCACCGGGAAATCAGTGTAGCACAGAAAAAGCAAATAGTGGATCTGTGGCATCTTACTACACTGATGGACAGTGACTGCATTGGGGTATGGGTGGGTACTTGATAATATGGGTAAATGTAGTAACCACATTGTTTTTCCATGTGAAACCTTAGTAAGAGTGTGTATCAATGATACCTTAATAAAAAAAAAACCTTTGAAAGCCAATAAATGAATGAATGGATGAATGAATGAATGAATAAATAAATAAATAAATAAATAAAAACAAAGGGCTTCTGGGAAAAAAATGACTTAATAATAGATACCCTTGAGTTAGAATGTGAAGTGTTGAAGTTTTCCCTTTTCACCTACTTCAAAGTTGTTTTCCCTAAGTATACATTTCTTTTATATTCTACCTTATTTTCTAAACAAAAGTTTACAAAGAAAGGTGGAAAAGAAAGGAGAAATGGTAGCAAGTTTTAGGATAAGAAGAAGGATTTGAGATTTTGGTAAAATATCGGCCAACAAACCAATATAAAAAATGAATGTAGCAAAAAAGAGGAGGATTAAAGATGGTGGCGTCAGAGGTAAGACAGAGATCTCCTCCTAAAATCGCATGTAATTAGAAAATGTAATTTATACAACTAATCCTGAAAGAGCAACAGGAAAGAAGGCTGCACAAGACTGCATACACCTGGAGAAAAGGATACACCTCACAGAATGGGGTAATATAACAGAGCCATGACCTGGTGAGACCCAAACCCTTCCCCCACCACAGCTCACTAGAAGGAAGAGAAACAGAGGG